ACACCACCAAATAATTAACCACTTTCCTTCCTGTAATTGTTTTATTTCAAATTTCGAATCCATCCATGAGTGTTTCTTTTGCTCTTTCATTAGTCAACGTTTTTTTCCAAAGGCCTTTGGACCTAATGGCCTACATCCAACTATTCCTCCACACAGAAGTCTAATGCTCTTAAACAGTTTAAATGTTTTCTTCACCCTCTACTTCTATTACCATGTGTGAGAAAGCGGCTTGCCAGCCCCCATCTCACGTCAGAGGAGGAGTAAGCAGAATACTTGCAAAAAGGTGGTAAGAACCAGCTGACGACAAATTCCAGAGCAAAAGCTTGTGGCGGTTTATTTACAGGTGCGATGGTGAAGACAAAAAAAAACTAACAAAATACTTTCAAACAAAGAAACCTAAACCGGCCATTGCAGGCAACACAAAGAACTTAAAGCCTCACAGGAAGCTGACATGGAATACAGACTACAACCAGTCTCTCAGAGCAGACCTCCAGTCTCTCAAAGCGTCTCTGGCATTGTGAGTGTGCCCCTTAAACAGGCCCACCAATAACCAGCCAATGGGGAAACTCACCAGGAAGGCAAATCACAATAAAGTGCAATTTACATTCTAATAAATTCATACAGCCTGTAGCATCACTCACAAAAACATCCATCATTATTAAATAGCTGAACCATGATAACAGTCCCAATTCACCTACTAATTACCATGCAAACAGTTATTCCAAATATTAGCACCCCTGTCCCACCATAGTCCTTTCCAGTGTCCTGGGACAATGAATAAAAAGCTCCGACACGTTACGCGTTCCCGCACGGACCAGTGTGCTGACGGACCAAGGGCCAGAAGGTGTGTGTGTTTGACTGGGAAGTTTTACTGTGGACTACGGAGTGTGTGATGAAGCTGGTTGGTAAATAAAGTGTGTTGAATGAAAGGTGTTGTGGTCATTTCTGAACTAGCGTAAAATACCGGGTAAATTGTTTGGAACTGCCGCCGGTACGACGGGCGGTCTGTGTTGCATGCTGGGAAATGTAGTGAGGGGAATGCGTGGACGTGACGGTGTGTGCGATAGACGGCGGCTGCAACTCGGGAACCGAAGGGGAAAACGACTCCGTTTTCACACCATCGTCAGATCTGTTTCATATTTGATTTCTCTCACCGTCAATCCCGATTTGTTTCCGACCAAATCCTTTGGTCTATTTTTTCTTTGTCCTTTTCTAACAAAATTAGAACAAAAAGTGCCCCCCCCACAGACACGGTTAATGGGGAAGGATATATTCCACCAAAATACAAACAGAGAATATGTTTAATATTCCACAAAAAAATAAAAAACTAATGGAAGAAAAACACAAACTGAGCCGAAGCTCCCCACACTCACATAACTCTCACAGGTGTTCAAATAGGCAGATGTGTTCAGTGTCGGCTAGGAAATCAGATGCACGCAGGCTGGTGTGGCCGTCAACTGTACAGCGCCTGTCACACGGGCTATTCATATTCATATTCATTCATATTCATACCTGGATATTCATCCTACATAAAATGCAGGACCCTAAGCGGTGGACTGGTTGTAAGTTGGCTTTTCTGAATAAGGCAATTATAATCCGCAGCAAAGGGGAGCCGCAAAGTACAATTAAATTAAAAATAAAGAGACAGTGGGGAAGAAGATCCAGAAAATATGAAATATTTATGCTACATGCATGTTAAACTAGCACACTCATTAAATGGAACAAAATCCAGATTCAGTTTAACAGTGTCTACTAACCTCTTTGCATCATCTCGTGTGTGGCCTTTTACGGGGACTTCCTTCTGTAGGGGCTGCTTCTGGAGGTGGATCCCACATGGTGAAGCTCAGAATGATAGTATCTATCATCAGATGCTGCTCACGACAGAAGCATCCGTGCATTAAGGAATATGAGAAAAACAGTAGAATATTAAATCCCAACCTGTAAGTTTGATATGAACACATCTGTGAATTTTGAGTGATTACCAAGTTTTTCATTGCTAAACATTGGAAGGTTCCAGGGGACTCCTTCAATCATTTTTCAAAGACCTCTCCAACAACTTCTGTGTCAGATTGGTCAAATACCTTCATATCTGGCTGCCTACCTTCTGAATGTTACATTTTTGGCACGCTGAAGTAAAGGAAGGAAAGGGAAAGTGATGTTAGAGCAACAACACCATTTAGTTCAGATGAGAATCAAATCGTAACCAAGTAGACTGATGTCTTCACAAAATGCTATCAAGTTGAACCTTAAGTTTGTAGGTCATTCCCATGCATTTAAAATGCACAGCAGAAACAGTTATCAACTCAGGGGTTATGTTTTACAGTGAATTAGGTGGAATTGACCAGGTAAAAGGTTGTAATATTGTGTTATCCTGAATGTACTCTCCAACTTTCTTTCATGAAGGCTCCTAATGTTAGGTCAGACAGCCTGACATACTTCAGCTCCCCACCAAATGACACAGCATATTCTACTTAAATAAACAAAGGCAAAAGAAAGACAGACACAAAAGTTGAGCAATGAGTTACCTATTAATGCTTAAATTGTTCAATTGAGCCCACTTACCAACTACGGTCCATGCTTTACGCTCACATCTGCTTTATTATAACTCAACTATGTCCAAATACATTTATTATATAAATATATATATCTAAATGTATATTTAAATATGTATAGACATCTATTAATTGAATGCTACATTCTGTGGTATGGAGGAAAAAAGACTGGATTTATGCTATGCCATTTGCTAACTGCCACAGCGTGAACAAAACCTGACAAACAACTTTACAGCTTTATTCCTTAATGAAAGCTATCAACAGGAGGCTAACTGGCATGTGAACATTATTTGTCTTTGTGTAATATTGAAGGCAACACCTTGGCAACTTCAGAAAATGGCTAACCGACCGACTGCGGTTGGGTTTACTTCTTAGCTTCAAGGTAATTTACGGTTAACGATTAGCATAAGTTACAATTAAATAACTTACAACGTAACCATAAGACAGGCAGCCTGTATTTATGCGTGTACCAGCATTAAGGAAAAAGACAAGCATTTAATGGTTCAGCTTAACTCGAAAAGAAATGTAGAACTTCTGAACTGATAGCAGGTTGCTAACGTTAGCTGTTTGGGACATGAGAGCCACTCCACAGAAGAATGAGCAACATTTCCCCAATCAACAAACACGAACCGATACCCGTGTTAAGATGGAAAACAATTCTTAAGCAGTGTTAGGAACACCAGCATGTTCATAATATGACTTACCCGAGCCAGGCCCGACTCCAGTTCAACCCGCTCCAGACTACCCTCACGTGCCTCCGGTGCTAAAGACCTGACAACTGGCGCGTGGTCGTCACTGTGTAGAGTTCAGGTTCCACTGCATGTCTGCGGGATTTCACACTGACTTTAACTCTGCTCTTAGAGTGGTTTTACTCTCTATATAGTTGAAAATCCTCTATCTAGGTTAAAATAGATTTACTCTGACATATTGACACCCCAGTTTGTTACTGTGAAATTGTACTTTGCGGCTCCCCTTATTTGCCGTGGATTATCATTGCCCTATTCAGAAAAGCCAAGTTATGACCAGTCCACTGCTTAGGGTCCTGCGTTTTATTTTGGAGCCAGCAGCAGACTTTGGCTGTGTTGCTCAGGTCTAAATAGCCCGTGTGACAGGTACCCTGCAGCTTACAGCCACCAGCCTGTGTGCGTCTGATTTCAGAAATACCCTGAATGCATCATTTGATTGCTGCAGCTGTGTCACAGCAACAGAGTGAGGAGCTTTAGCTGATCTCTTCTTAATATTATTATTTTTGATTTTTCATCTATAATTATAAACAATGTTTTTTGTTTTTTTGTTTTTCATCCCTCCTCATCAGCTTAGCCTGTGGGGAGGCGCTTTAGGTTGTATTTCTCTTTTCAGGATGGATAGCAGGGATTTGAACATGGACCGGCAAAAAGAAGACGAGAGGGGAACAACAGACACAGTGGTAAAAAGAAAAATGACACTAAAAGACATTAAATATGATAAATACTTAACTATGGTTATTGAGATGGAAGGAGAGGAGAAGATATCAGTGGTTCAGTTAATGAAAACAATCCCACTCTTGTGTGGAGGTATTGTTGGGTGTAAACCATTAAGGCCCAGATCATTTGAAATCACTTTAAGTAATGAAGCTGTGAACAATAAGTTCATGGAAAACTGAACGGGGGGACTCCTCATTTTCTTCCTCCCTATGGTCACTCTTCTTTCCTTAAATGTGGCAGGAATGAGGAGTAAAGGGAAGCTGTGGAACTTTTTTTACAATGCAAATGATGATCAAATATGTTTGAAAGAAACTATTTTGGACAATAAATTAATAAATGAAATAAATAATCTATGGAATAGACAATTATACTAAAATAATAAATAAAAGACCATTTAGGAAGATACTAATTATAGATATAAATATAAACATGTAGTTATTAGAATAATAAATGTTTATGCACCCAATGTTTTTAAAGAAATAAACCATTCAAAAGTATAGATACATTTAATAATTATAATAAAATACAAGTAGGTGATGTGATTGTGGGACTCTCTGGAAAGGAAGACTCAACAGGAGGTTTCAAAGATGACAGCAGTAGAGCAGCCTTAGTCAACTTAGTGAGAAAAAAAGAATTTAATTGATAGATTAAGATTCTTAAATGAATAAATAATTAATTAATTAATTAATTATTAATTAAATACAAATAAAAAGTTTTGTAAAAGGGATATTAAAAATGTAAATGACAGAAATACATATCTCAGCGATCCTGATGCAATTATAGTAAATATAGAAAATATAAAT